GCAGAGAAAGCAGTTTCTGCTTTTGAAGTTGTAAACAGGAAAGCTGTTGCAGAGGTATGGCAGCACTGTGGTTTTACACACTGATGTGCCCTTGTTAGCGCTATTAAGACGCCAACAGATAAAACAGTCTTCAGTTAAAGTTATAAATAGTGTGATGAGATTGAGAGCCACTTTTCTATGGCCCTATGAATGCATTTAGCCTCATGTTTTATCTTGTTGTTTCACTAGTAGGAATAGTCACACGTTGCCCACAGGCCATGCCCAGTCCATGCCCTTCCGCTGTGACCTTGCACTTATTCTTTTAGCAGAAGCCACAGCGTGAGAAAGTTGATGTTCCGCTTTGCTTTACCACACGCGGAGTGGTAGAGATGAGAAGCCATGGTTAGCCAGCGAGCTAGCCCTGAGATGTGCCTCATATGTTATGGGGAAGTGAAAAGCCCATGTTTAGTTTGCTTATTTAAAGCTAGCACTTCTACTGTTGTTCTTAATTAGACAGTGGGGCTTTTATTAACTTTAAGCCATTCAATCCCTTCATGTTAACAATATGTGGGAGATTAATATTTAAAGCCTCATTACAAAGCTGTCATTATAGGAAATGTGTTCAAAGCTTACATTGCACATGGGTGTGTCCGTCTTTAACCATTGTGTGTTCCAGAAAAGCGACACCGCTTGTTAAGCATCAATGCATCAGTGAGCTTTATTCAAAAATGTGGTTAACACCTTTTTTTGAACCAATATCTCTCCTCACTGACTACTATGCATACCATGAGCTAAAGGTTAGATTCCTGTGAACATTTAGCATCAGAATATTACACATTAAAGCGTGAGCTTATTCTCAAGGGGCTACCTGTTGTTGGCTTATAAAGTAAAGTAACTAAAGGGTGTCGTTTTACATTATCTTTCATATTTATCTTTTTGAATGTCTTCCTTCTCCAGGAGGTTTGCTCAGTTTGACAGCGTCAGAGCCACTCCAGAGCTTTTGCTCCACAGCAGACAGTAAAGACCCATTTTTGTTACAACACACTCGAGTAAAGAATCCAAAGACTGTCCTGTGGGTTTTGCAGAATTTGGCTCTGTGAGTGTAATCTACTTACAGTTCTCCGAGGGGTCAAACATCTTTGTCTGCATGAGCTGCTCATGATCTCACTCTTCAGATGCTGTTTGCTGAAGGCTCAGAGGTGTCAGCTCTCCGTCACTGGGCCTTAGTCTGTTACACAAGCGAGCAGTCGCAGGACCTCCGTGTTACTGGCTGTTGACTGACCGATCATATAAAAGCTTTTTAAGGGCTTGGTATAGAAGGAAATGTGATGTTTGCATGACTGGATTGTAGCGTCTGTCCGCCTGGTTATGGGGGTTATGCTAGCTGACGTCTCTGGCTTCAGCCTCGGGCAGGAAGTCAGGATTTATTCACTTTTAGTCAGCGAGTCAGTGAACTTGCCTGGTCAGGTAGCATTTTTAAAGTCTTGAAGTACAAGCTAAAGGCTTATTAGCTGTCAAAGCATGATATGCCTGGAAGCAGAGCACAACAGAGTAGATCTGCGTCTTTGTCCACCCGTTTCCGCTTCTTTGCCATCCTGTATACCCTGAGCGTGCTCTCAGTGTGGCGAAGATGCATGGCAGGCTTTGTGTTGGGTTTGTATCATTTGACATGACATGAATTAAATGTATCCCTCCTGCCAGCATGAGAGTTGTAAAAGGGATTTGTGTTTTTTATATTTAGCTCTGTATTGTAATTTTTGTTTTCCTGCCAGGATCTGAATGTGTCAAGGTAAGACTGTACAAGGGTGTGGTGGTCAATCCTTTGCATGTGAAAAACCTGTGCGCACGGCAAAATCCGTTGTAAAAAAAGTCCGTTGATGTGTGTGCACGATGTTAGTAAAGGCCCCCAGGCACTGAATGTTTATGGGAAATATGTGAACACTAATTTATGGCGCTAGTTTGTCAGTGTGTATTCTGTAGGAAGCTTTTAGTGTTGCTTTCTGCGTTTTCTCTGTAGTGAAATAGTACATTTTTTTGCAGATGCTTTTCTCTTACTGCTATATTTCAAATCATTTGAGTTGTGTGAAAAAGCTTGTTGATGTTCTGCCTAATTAGCAACACTTGCTTTCAAATTTGCATCCAGCCTTCATTGGTACATCTTGCCCAGTGACTTATCCCTGTTTTATGTTGATATTTCAGTCAGCCTGTTTTTGTCCATAACTAATGTTTGTGTCTCCGCTCTAGTTTGGAAATGAGAGCCAGCAGCTGGAGTGGGTGAAGCGGGAGAGCGAGCGTGAGGAGCGCGGGGAGCAGGAGAGGCTGCGGCAGCTGCGGCTGCAGGAGCAGCAGGACCTGGAGCTGGCCCTCGCTCTGAGCCGGGCCGACATGCCCTGACCGGCCGTCCTCCACCACGTCTCTCTGTCCTCTCTCCTGCCTTACAGTCCTCTGACCGCATGACAACAGCACCAACACTGGCCCCACATGACTCGCAGCCCCTGTTACCAATTTTTGTTAGAGACGAGTGTTTTTGCAGCCATGACTGGACTCTTGTCTACCGACTCCACATTTAGCGACCAGTTATGGTTCATTGCTCCCAAACTACATGGCAACTATAATCAAGGACATTAAGGGAGCCACTTGATTTAAGCCCGACTTAAACCTGCAAGAACATAGTGATTCAACCCAGCCCCACTAGCATGATAGCCACTATATCTAACTCCATATCGTGCTACGGCCTTATCCAAAATTCTTTCTGTTAAGAAATAACCTTTTTAAAGGAGTATTTTACTGTTTAATTTATAAACAGAAGCATTGAATCTGGTGTATGAAGTCCTTTTTAAAATGCACTGTACAAACTGTTTTATATATCGTTTAATTACTTTAAAAGAAAATGCAGATCAAACCAGATATGCCAACTAATCTGTTGGTTTATGATTGAGTTTGTCCAATTTAAAAATGTTTAAAGAAACTCCTTCATGTGCTGTAAATATTGTTAGCTGATGGTTTCATATGCAAGCCGTGAAACAGTCCATCTTTAGAAACCATTCCTGTCTTAAAGGACTGGAGCTTAGTGATCAGATCATTAATGGCATGCTTTAGGTTTTTATTTCAAATGTTATGTGTGTCCTGCCATTTATGCCTGCATATGGAATATTTATGACCTTAAACTTATAGGGTTATAAACATTTTGAATATTTAAACGGTCAACAGGGATCAAACAAAATATGATGTTAGAGAATGAAAGCCTTGGTTCAATATGATTTAACCCCATATCATCGGTTGCCTCTTGCATTCACAATTATTAAGATGCTTATGATAATCCTTGAGGTCTTCCTTCCCTATGAACACAGTTCAGTCCCTGTGCAGCAATGTACCCCCCCTCTAATGTCGACAGCTGGTGCTTGTGGGATGGTTTATCATTGGTTGCCTTGTTGTTACGCCCATACAACTAAAAACCTCTATAAAATGGAAGTAGTGTAAACCTACATTGTTTGTACTGGTGCGGTTACATTTAGTTCAACCCTTTTTTTAATTATTCTCACTACCACTGATACACAGTGACATCTGCTTTCAATTTGTTTGCCTTTCTCTCAACACTCAAATCAACAAATGGATCTTTTTTCTGTGGATTTTGTTCCTCTACATTCATTTCTTATGATCCAGTTGGAGGACATATTGTTTTAATGACTTTAAAATATTGCATTCTTGTAATTATATTACACTAATCAGGTTTATTTGGCACATAATGTACGCACTGTATTCCAGAGCTTACTGGACACATGCAGAATGGCATCGCCTTATTTATCAACATTGTAACATGTAACATTGCACAGTATGTTTGTGGTTATATATAAAAAAATTCTCTGTTAAACTTTAAATGACTTTTAATTTAATAAAAGGGATTTTTTTTTTAAGTTTCTGGAACACGGTAAGTATCTCCTTTTGAATGATATATTAAGGCTCAAGTATTTTGTAAAATAAATGTATCGAATGACACCGTAGGACAAATAGCTCAACATTACGAACACGTGTTTTGAAGGGAAGACAATGGTCTACCCTATGTTTAGCTCTTTATCTGATGCTTTGTACAGAGTTATACAAAGTGTTTGTATCTTGCATCGATATTGGAACAAAAAAAAGTGAAATGAGAGTGACACATTTGCATCTCCCACTGCAGATATATTTGACCCAATGTGTACTTCCTCTTTTTTAAAAATAAGATAAATTCTAGGTAAGTAAATCAGCACATTTAAGTCACATTCAGTTTGTACGTGTTATTGTTGTGGGTGAATTGAAGATACTCTTCAACTGCGAAATTCCGCTTTTGAAGTGTGTGGTTTTATGAACTTATTTTTAAGTTTTAGAATTGTCATAATAAAACAAGGACTACTTTGTCAATCACCAACCAACCACATTATTTGAAGAAAAACGTTTAATATGTACTTTTTCAAAATGCCATCTGGTTTTGATATATCTACTCAATGCAGCCTTTGATGCGGGTGAAACAAATGCTCCCTGACACCATGCAGACATAATATGCACAGACTCAGATACTTTGAAACTGTAGTGCAGTGACTCTGTGTAATTGTAGTATTAAGGCCCTTTGATGTGCTACTATAATTTCTACCCATCAGAAAGGGAGTCTAAGGGCTCCCTGATGAGGGTTTGCTGTGTGCCCCTCTGTCCAGACGGCTCCTGGCTCACTCTGTAATTATGGAAATGGGGTGTTTGTATTTATAGGCTAAGCCCACAAGCGGCTGCCCTTCCGTCTTGCAGCTGCAAAACATCACAGTGGAAATCAAGTGCCCATGTTTTAAAATTAAAGTGGGTATACAATGGCAACATGTATAACCTATTTAGTCTTACTGATCTGATGGTCTGCAGGCCTACTAAAGTCGTAGTATGCACAGCATGTGAAAGCTATTGTTGAGTGGGTGGATGTGGTTCATTAAACACAATGTGAGAAAAAGATATACAATGACTTGACATTCATGGAAAGAGAAGAGGTCCCCAGTCAAGTGTTCAATTTCATTGTTTTTAATATTTACAATAAATATACATTTTACAGTATAAAACCATGTACATATTTATATAAATTTAAGTGAAAAATAATGCACAGGACATCAAGCCCTGATAGTGAACTGAGGGGCTGGATCCAAGATATTCACATAGAGACAACATCAACACCAAATATGAAAAGGCAATAAAATAAAGCAGTTCAGGCCGTTCAGACATTGAGAGGCAGTTTAAATAAAACATTGTCCCTGCACATGTTAGGCAACTATGTGCATTTCACCCCTGTCAATAAGAACATGTACTAAATGTGGCCATGTCGTTCTGTCACTAAGAGTTTTACAGTAGCACAGTCATAGAAAGGCACTTTTGTGTCAAACACAGCGTTCCAGTTCTGTCAAATAGGAGTAATATATACAGGGCCAGCCCCTTCTTGGTCTTCCTGCTCTAAAGCAAACAAAGCTTTTCTAAAGCTTTTTTATTGAACCAAAGTAGTACCAGCTACGTTATTAGAAAATAATACAACTAAACTTTTTAATTCAATATTATATATAATATATATAGACTATATATAGCATATATATATATATATATATATAGCATATATATATATAATATATATATATATATATATATATAAACTTGGTCATGTGGACAACAATTTGGTCAACAATTTGGTCATGTGGACAACAATTTAAATAAAAATACATCAGTTGAATCACAACAAAAAATAACATAACCCCATGTCCTTATGTGGCCTCCTTCACATGTGTCTCTTCATGTGAAGTGCCAGGTGGTCAGACCTGGAAAAGGCACGTTCACACAGGTGGCACTGGAAGGGCCTGTGTCCGGTGTGTTTGCGGAAATGACGGGTCAGCTCATCGGAGCGGGCGAATTTCCACCCACAACCTTCCCAGCTGCAGTGGTACGGCTTCTCGCCTGAGAGGACAAAGAAAAGGGAGATTATTAGTCTGTGTTGAAAGGAGAAACATGATTTGGAACTAATGCAAGCCAATGCGTAATTGCGCACAGATGTAACGCTTTTTATCATGATGTATAGAGGCTCAAACTTACCGGTATGAGTTCTGAGATGTGCCTTCAGATGTGAGCTCTTGGTGTAGGTTTTTCCGCATCCATCATAGCTGCAGGTGTGCGTTGCTGTGCGCTTCCTCGGCCATGTGCGCCGCCCTCTCTTTGGTTTTGACTCCAGCAGCTCAAGGGGGGAGGAGGGCGGTGTGAGCATCACCCTCTGCGCGCCTGGCTGCATGCTGAGCCCTTCATCGTACATGCCAAAGGCAGTATGCGGAGCGTGGTAGGCCATTTGCATCTGTGGAGCCTGGTGGTGGTGCGGGAAAGCCGCCGGTGTGTGATACTTCTGAGAGAAGTTCATGGGCTGGCACAGCTGTGCCTGGCAGTCTGAGGCTCCCTGCTCATCGGGGCTGAGAGGCGGGGTCATGTTGCTGGATGCTCGTGGGGAGATGGCCACTCTGGGCTGCTCAAAAGACATCATGCACGAAACGTTCCCTTCTTGCTTGATTTTGCAGCTTTGGGGCACCATGCCTAAAACGGGGCCGTAACCGTCCATAGGGGGCTCAACTTTGATTTCCTGGCGGGGAAAATGTGCCGTGTTGACATAAAATCTTCCCTGAAAGCAGGAGTTGCGGGCAATGTCATAGCTGTTGGTTCCCTCGGAGCGGAGCAGCTCTGTCATGAGGCTGGCGCCGTACGGCGGCGGCGGGGAGCGGTGGTCGTCTCCCGGGTAGGATGGCACAGTGATTCCCGCCGTGTACATGCTGGGGTCGGCTGTGCCCACAAATTCCGCTGTGCTGTCAGAGCCCGTCGTGTTGGCGAGGATAAAATCCAGATCTAAGTAGTTACTCAGATCCTCGTCGTCCCTTTTGCTGTGATTGTCCAGGTTGTGTACCATTTCCATCATGGAGCAGCTGCTGTTGGAGACTAGTTTGTCCATATCTCCTTTCCACCTCTGAAAGAATAAATAGACATTGTTAGATATGAGAAATAGGATGTGGAGATAACAAGTGACATCCAACTGGAAAAGTTAGCCATGTTACACAAACACTGAGTTTTCTTTACTTAAATTAAGTTTTGTAATTGTTTTAAGTTATTATTTGTTTAGTTTTCACAAAGCAAATAGGCTAGATTCGTTGCAACAGCTTTACATTATACTATTTTTCTTTTCTAAACAGGTGAAACAAAGTGAGACATGATCCAAGTCAACCGTTTCCAAAGATTTTGAATGAAAATAAACGAAAATGTCTAACTTACGTTTTCATAGGTTTTTTCTCTTTGGTTTGTGAATGTTGAAAATGACGGTAGCATCACTCCGGATAAGGCCATCGTTTGGTGAAATAAAAGCTATTTCTTGTCAAAGTCGCACCAGAACCTGTGCGTCTCTTTCACTGTCGCTCTCCACTTCTGCACTCCAAAGGCATGAACAAGTTTAAAAGTGGAAGGAGGTTCTCCAAACCTTATAACTCTCTAACCGGACAAGGGCTGGCCAATTGTGAGAGCTCAGGAAACAACGTAAAGTTTGGTAAATTTAGCTCTTTATAAAGCGGCTCCTGCAGGCAGCGGGGCTCAGTGTGCTGTATGACAGGCAGGCATAGCAGAGCAGCCTATAAAGCGGAGCCCCGCCCCCTCACACTGACGCAACAAGCTAGACACGCCCACCTAGAGTTGGAAAAAAGTTGCAGGCAAATTACAAACACAAGGTCAATATAGCAACCATAGATACTTACGTAATATGCTGAAAAGAACAAGCTTAATGACAGAAACTGCTGGAGGCCAAGCCACACCAACAACTTCATATAAAGGCTGTCAGGACTTCACTTAATCATCTCAACAACAATCGAGATATGGGTTATTTAATGAACATGTAATAACACATACGATTCAGAGTTCGTTTAAACCCTGGAAGAAAAGACAGAACCAATATGTATATATTTAATAAAATACAGGCAATTGGGGATTATGGCAGACTTCTAAAAGCATATAATATATATAATATATATGTCCAAAAACATCGAAATGTATGTTTTGTGAAGGACCATTTATTTTGGTTAAGTCTTTGATGTGACTACATCATTTCATTTCTAGCCTCAAAACAAATGTTTTCTTTGGTTTCTCCATAAAAAAGAGACAAACTCCAACATCGATTCTGAACTTTCTTCAAAGGGTTGTCAATCAAGTGTAAATATTCAAATGGCTGTATGTACAGTGACGGATGTTATGCGTCACGTGTGTGTGGCTGCTGCCCAGGGGCGGGGCTTCAGGGGGGGCTGTAGGGGCAGGGCTCCCCGGGCCCTGGACGGTCGGGACCCAATGGGGGCCCGTCGCCGAGGCAGCAGGCTCCGCCCCCGAGATATTCGGGCGGGCCCTGCTGCCTCGCGCCACTGAGTGCACTGACGTTCGTGGTCATATTAGGTATAAAGCATTGTAGCCTATAATATGAGTTGAACTTGTGCTGCTATTTTCACACTCACATTTAACATTAAAACATGAAAAATTGCAAGTGAATCCCTTCTATTGTCTCCAAATGTATTTTGGGTAAAATCGTCATCAACAGCCTCCATCAACATCATACGTAAATGAACGTCAACGTCATCATCAATCACTTGTCATTCAACAGAGCACTGCCTAAGCATGAGCCGTTATAAACACAAAAGTGGAGCTACAAAATGCAAAGAAAAAGATAAAAAAGGAGGACCAAGGAAAAGCCAAATTGTCCAAGCTCGATGGATATTTTTTTCGCCAGCCGTGTTTCATCCCCGAGCCCCAGCCCGCCAACAACGTTAGTGGGGGTTAGCCAGATTTACAGGTAGGCTACAATCACGGCCACACACTGTCAACAAGAAAATGTGAGTTTGTGGTAAATGTTGATATCATATGGTTGTTGTTACTTCGTGTAGCTCGGCCGCCTAGCTTATTTCCTTTTCTGTCTCTCGGCTGTAGTGATGATGATAATAGGGACGACTCAGCAGCTGCTAGCTGCTAGCTGCTCGTCTAGAGGAGAGACGGGCCTGACGCTTGACCAGCCGCACCCCTCCCCCTCCGGCTCCTTACTGGCTGCGCCGCAAGGTGAAGAAGTACCGGACACTCTTGCCCTGGCTACTAAATGGGGAAGTCAAACACAGTTTGAAACAACCAGGGCCAGGAAAGTTAAGAGACACTTTGATGAACTTTCTGAAGACAGCTGCCTCACTGACGCAGAGAGCAACTTTCGGGTGACCGTTTTCAATGCATGTCTCGATATAATCATCCAGCAACTGTCCCAAAGATTCACCAGTTTAAATGCAACTGTGAACATGTTTGAGGCAATTCACCCCAACACACTACTGCAAGCAAAGGATGAGGATTTACACCAAGCTGCCCAGCGGCTTAGAGAGCACTACAGTCGGGACATCGCCGCCAGCTTCCCTGGCCAGCTGCTTTCTTTCAGAACCTGTTTCAGGGACCAAATACAAAAACTAAAATCTGTCTCGGATCTGGTAAAAATGCTCATTGTTTACAACCCAGCAGTAACATCTACATTCAGTGAGGTTTGCACAGCCTTCATCTTATTTCTGACTCTTCCTGTCACCGTGGCAACCGCCGAGCGCTCTTTCTCCAAATTAAAACTCATCAAAAACTATTTGAGGAGCACGATGGGACAGGAGAGACTGAGTGGACTGTTCTTGCTGTCCATCGAAAGTGACCGAGCCAAGAAATTGGACATACAGCGTATTGTGGACAAGTTCGCGGAGCGCAAGGCTCGCCGAGTACCATTCAAGTAGTGGTGAGTACACTTCAAATTTAATTTGTACAGTAGCCTACTTGTACGTGAATGTATGGGCCGCCGTGCCAATTTTACACTGCTCTGCTCTCATGGTGGCTGTGAATGGTGTGTCAGAAATGTAGTCATTTTATTAGGCTATGTTTTCATTGTCCTTGTGGTTTGTTGGACTTTATGTCATGTTATATCATTATTATCTCTGTTATATATTTCGTTTCTATACCCTTTGTAAAAACGAAATCTTAAAGGGATAGTGGAAATGGAACCTCAAATAGTTTCGTTTTAACTTATATACAAGCATAATTACGTACCAAAACAATCACACCTGATTAAAAAAATATAATAATTGCCTTACGCATGTTAGAAGCACTTTATTGCAGCTTCCCCGAAGTTTTTTAGAAACGAAATGTTTCTCAGCCTAACCGGAAGTGACGAAAACTCAGGAAGACGATACGATAACAAACCATGGCGTCTATGCAGAATGAACGTGGAAGGGCAAATATACCAGACAAAGAAGAAGGATTGTACGAGGTATCCAGTGATGATAGCGAGTCAGAAACATCCTCTCGGCTTTCCTACGAAAATGTCGTTTTAGGAACTGAATCTGAATCCGGTTCAGTAAGCGACGATGGTGACAATATTGAGCCAGAAGATGGACCATTACGTCCTTATTTGTTCGAGCCCGAGCCCGAGGTGATGGTTCACGGCATGGGCAATGGCGAGGATGACCAGGACCAGGCGCCAGATGATGCACCCCTACGCACAAATAATCTTGACTGGTAGGTCCCTAAGCATAGCTCACGCATCTTAAGATCACCTGTAGCCTTTACAAATATTAATCATTGTTAACCAGTTAAGGCCGAAGGTCCCCCCAGTGGACCCCTCCCACCGTTTTTTTTCTCTCACATGTCTCAGGGCTTCTTAACATTTATGAAACTATTAATGTTTCATACCCTTTTAAAGGTAAGAAACTCCGCTAACTGACAATAAGAACAATTGTTAGCTAGAAAAAACACAAGAGTAATACCAAGCCTTTGAATTAGCATTGAGCGAAACAATGCTAACTAATGCTAACGCTTTTTTACACACAACACACGGTAGAAATGCCCTTATTACTATCTTAACTGCACAAACAAGATATACGATTTAAAGCTGAGACTCCACAGATTCCACACATGTAATGTCATCACTGTAAGACCTCGAATTCCTGGAGCTATCAGCCAGAAAAGAGAAAGTAAACAACATCCGGTTCCAAAAATATTACAATAATTACGTCTTACCTTTTTTGATTTGTGATCAAAAGTTGTGTTCAACGGAATAAAAACGCATCTCAAGGTTAATCCAATGTCGTTGTGTCACGTAGAATTTTTCTGTCGCACTACAGCCATACAAAACACATCTATTCACCATAATAAAGGTCGGCTATTCACATGCAAATGCTATTGAATGTCCGCCATTGTTTGTGCCCGTCTTCCTGAGCTCTCGTCATCACCCGAAGATTCCCGACGATTCCCGAAGTATTTCGTTTCATTGAGAGGGCGCAGTAAAATTGAAAATAAAATGAAACTAGGCGGATGAAATTAAAAAAAATTGTTTAATATGCTTCTTTTTAATAAAAATACATAAATTAAACCCAAAATTCGCGGATTTCCACTATCCCTTTAAATATTACACCTTTTTCTTTAGTTACTTTTCTTTCAAACATTGTTTTAAATTGTAATCTTACTGACTGAGCGACTTTTTACGCACGAGCGTCAGATTACCACCCCGGACTCCCGATATTTTTGTCAAGCTTTATTGGGTTTAAAGGGCCCGGTCATGTGGCCCCGCCCCCCGGCCCGGGTCTGATATGTGCCGCCAGTGCTGCTGCCTCCACCTGTTTGGCGCGGCTCCCTCTCGGCTCATTATCATTAATGGAAGATGGTTTTGTTCTTTCACTCACAGCAGGCTTGTCCAAACAGGCGCCAGGTTCGTCTGAAACGGTTTTCACGGCTTTTAAACGCTCTAACCACTCCTGATGTAAACATGATTTAAGGTAACAGCCATTCAGATGTAAATGGGGCTGCGGTGTCGATTGGAGTCACATTTACATCACAACTCTGAACTGCTTGTAGCTGTTTCTGCAGAGAGATCTGGTTTCTGACAGGAATCCTGTTGCGCCAGACGTCATCAGTCCAACTGTAACTCCGCACTTTATGTCAATTGTAGATCCTTAAATTAATGTTAAAATAGGTTTCTTGATGTAAAATAGCTCACCCTATAACTTTTTTTTAGAATAGATATTAAGATGATCCTTGCATCCTTTTGCACACCACTTTCATAAGCAATATGCATACAATCCAAGTGCTTTACTTAATTGAAGTATTACAGTGTAAACATACTCAATTAAAAGTAAGTATTATAAAGCAAAAGTAAGTGTCATAATGATGATGAAGGGCCCTTTCTGTCCGCATTTTAATTTATATACTTTTATATTTTATTATTTTATTAACATTAGTGCTACTGTCAACTGTAAGCAGCCATTTACAGTATATCGTTTAGACTTGTATTCAGTTTAGTGTACTTAATTTTTTTAAATCTTAATATTCGTTGTGGGAAATAGTCTAAAATGTACAATATGTATTATGTAGTGCAACTGAATTATAAAGTGTTATAAAACAGAAGCACAGTTCTTGAATAAATCTACTTAATTACTTTCAAAAACGACAGCTGTGTACATCCATGTGTCATCATTTAATCCAGCACTCCTGTGAATCACTACCCTTCTGCAATAGGTGCAGTACTGAACTATGTGATAAGAACTCAGTTTGTTTA